GTCATCGCAAGCGGTCAGCGACTGCGGTGGTGGCGGCTAGATACCCTGTCGCTGCTGCTCAGCTGTTGACGCGTTCGGCTTCGTCCAATGAAGTAATCGGTGGTGTGATAAGCCGCAGTTGTTTACATCGCACACAGGCACAGGACAAACGTTTCTATTATGACGAGCCAGTAAACAACAATAGCATAAGCCGTGGTTTTTGATAAATTTCCATCTGTCTTTTCGCATAGCTCGACGAAAATTACGACAATCGGGTAGCTTATGATTTGTTTTGTTGCAAAAAAATACATAGGTTCTTATTGTCTTCTTCACTGACTGTGTTTACGGCTAATATAGGTCGGTTGCGAAACTTTGAGCTGTCTGTGCGTTTAAAAGTGCTTTCCGAAATTTTATTTATTTCTCGTGGTTGTGATAAGCCCACTAGTGCTGTCAACTCAGCTTCACGCTTAAGAAATGATGCCAGCACTTCAAGCTTCGGTCGACTTTCTGATAGCTTATCAAACGCATACTCAGTCCATTTACCAATTAAAGTACTTGGTAATTTTGATATTAATGCGGCGACCAGTTCTGGACTATGAAGATAGCTTTCTTGTTTGAGTGCCCTTATAGTTGCGACACAATTATTCACCTTCATCGAAAAATGTATTATTTCGCTTTGATACCAGCTTAACAAAGGTACTAACTTCTTTAATTGAGCTGTTATATTGAAAATTATAATGTCAGAGCGACCGAACCTCAATTCCAGTGCCTCCATTATAGTTTGAGGTGGTGTATTTCCGATTAACAAATCAGTCACAGCTTCTAAAGCATTATCTCTCAGTGCCCTGCGTAGCCTCCACAGGTTTTCTGAATCACTAAAATTGCACACTCGTGTGGACTCTTCATAAGCATTTTTGAAGTGTAACCACTCCACACAATCACCACCAAAAGAAGGCAAATCTTGCGGTGTCGCAAGTCTACTGAGCAGTCGTTCATCATGAGACGGCTTTTGGAGTACTACTAAATCCTTTTGTGCTTGTAAACTTAACTCTTGTAAACTGGAACTTGGTTGCTCAACGCATGGGTCAACGGGGGCTTTGCACTTACTATCCAACCAGTTTTCCACCTGTCCCTGTTTTTCTTCATCCAGCAGGTCCTGACTACACCTGCTACTACTGTCTCTTTGTTGATGCTGCTCTTCTTCTTCAGCCTCCATTGCAGCTAACTTTGCCTCTAATTGTTTGTCGATCAACTCCATTCTTATCTTCGCCTTAGCTTCTGCTGCTTCAAGCTCCAGCTGTTTGCGTCGTGCTGCTGTTGACGATGACGTTGACCTATTTGTCTTAACGGAACTCTTCACCGATTGGGTCGTCTTTTTAACGGATCCACAAAGTGACGACTGTTTTGAAGGTTCACAAATCGCATCTCGATTGTGCAGCAAATTACCACAGCTTAGGCTGGACTTTAGCTTGTCTTCAGCAAAGGTTGTTCGCCTGTTTCCACGGTCAGATGCAAATTCCATTTTTGCGTCGGCGTCTGCTTCTTCCTGTCGCTGGCGGCGGGTTATTCTCCTCGACGTTGGAGTTCCAAACATTATTGTCACTAGTTTACGTAGATTTGGCTCGAAGACCAACTTTTATAAAGGATAGAAATAAAACCACAGCGTTCACCTTAAGTAACGACAGAAAAAAGCCGTTGTCTTTAATTACCACCAAAAAATTTTACAAAATTATTCAAAAACACCTTCATTATAAAAGTTAATTTAGTTATCCTCTAGGTCAACAGATGGCGTTAGTAGTACACGAAACTATAATAAGATACATTGTTTTTAATGATTTTTAGAAGATTTTACCAGATAATTATTTATATTTTCTTTTCATAACTATTATTACTTATTTAAATTAAAGCACAGGCTCAGAAATGCGTCGCCTACAGTGAGCAAAAAAGTTTTTATTTAATAAAATTTATTTACTAAGATTAAGTGAGAAAAGGCATCAGATTTTTTTCATCATCATCATCAGCCTATTAATGTCCCCACTGCTGGGGCACAGGCCTTCCCTATAGATGGAATAATATTATAATATTTATTTATTAAGACTGACAAAAAAACAATCAGAACCTAGCTCATCTATTCCGCTCATCTCTGTATTATAGTTATGAATAATCATGCACTATTACTAGGTCACATACGAACATGTATCCTTTATGTAAACGTTTGAAATCGAGTTTCTGAACACAACTTAAAGTGACATTTGGTTGACGATTTAGGTTATCAACCATTCATGGCCAAATCTCAATAAGTGAAAAAAAAATCAACCGATATTAATTATCAATATTTGTTATTGTTTGTTTACAAATGTTTGGTTTTTATTCTTGAATTAGCGGAGAGCTAAAAAAGGGTTCCAAGTTTTTTTTGCAAACCGTACTTTTCAAGCAACATTTGACAGATAGAGGTCATTGGCTTTCCTATTCTTATTTGAATCGCATTATACTATTGTAGAGTGTTTTTAGATGGCAAAATGATCTCTCATAACTATGGTATTGTACACCAAGAGAAGGAAACTAAAAACTGGTTGGTAGCGATGGTCGTTACAACGATAACAGATAATGTAACGAATTATTGTTCCGTAACGAACAACGCATTATTGAACAGCGAACTATCCTGTTATCGACGACCTCCGTGGCCGAGTGGTTTGTACGCCGAGTTTCATGGTGTCGCCGACTCGAGAGGTCCCGGGTTCGAATCCCGGTGGGGGCAGATGTTTCTGTGATGAATAAGGGCATTTGTACTCCAGTCATGGATGTTTAATATGTATTTCTATAATTAAACTTATATATGTACTGTATATGTATTCTATCCGTTACCCTAGCATCCCATAACACAAGCCTTACAGTGCTTACTTTGGGGCTAGGCTAATTGGTGTGAGTGTTGGAAATATTTATTATTTATCCTGCTGTTGTTGTTAAACGCAGCATGCCTGGTTGCGCTGTTGCCATGCCGTTTGTGTATGAACGGTACGAAGCGAGCGACAACGCAACGGGTATGAGGGAGAGAAAGCATACTGTTACCGCTCTGTTGTCTGCATTTCTAACTCCAAGTTAGAATGTAATCTTTCGTACAACGAAATAAAGTTGTTATTTGTTTACTTTTTTAATTATCAGATTAATAAGTTTATTTATCCCAAGTTCATGATTCATGCACATTAAGACTCATTTTAATTTTTAATGCTATTTGAAAACGAAGGTAGGTAAATTACAACAACATTGTTGTTTTGCTAAACTGTTGTCAGTTTTTTAGTAACAAATTGGTGTCGATTCTGGCATGATTCTCTAAACCTAAACTTAAATATGACAATAGTGTACCCTTGTCTTGATCTATACAGAATGAAAAGGAGAGACTAATGTTAAATTTAGCTTTAACTTTAAGAATCATGTCGGAATCGACACCATTAATTGTCATTGCATCATCACCAGACACCTCTTTCCTAGTCGGCACTTTGGGCAAGTGCCTGGGGCCCCGCGATCGATAGGGGCCCACTTCAGATCAAATACAAAGTCCCTAGTTCCTGTTAGATCACCAAACGGGGCATAGGTAGTGTTTCCAGATGTCCCGATTTGCGCGGGACCACCCGTTTTTGCAGGGGTCTGGGGACGCGTCCCGATTTGTACCTGATCGGGTCGCTAAATGTCCCGATTAATCAAGGTAATTAATATAATACTATACTTGCACTAGTAGTGTAAAACGCAATACATTAAACCCAGACTTAAAAACCCCTTGTTTTTTGTTTACTGTCCCGATCTGCAAACCTAAATCCTGATTTTTTTGACCTCATGAACCAATTTAAAATAAAACGGGCCTTTCTACACTAGTCATAGGGGTCCCATTATATCCTAATATGCCCAGGGCCTCCAATAGGTCAAAGACGTCACTGATGATCACATATGCAAATTGTTATGACCTAAACGGTTTTGATGGCCCTAGGTAAAAATAAACGGGACATTAAGCACAAAGTTTTACACAGTTTTGAAGCTGATTAACTAACCATCTTCTTTGTGCGTTTTTAATAATATATTATTATTGTCCAACCTAATTTAATTCATACTTTTGCTAAAACCGTTAAAACTTATTACACTAAGTGGGCCAATAGATGTGTCTGGGAAGTGTATATTGTACAATAGGGTATTTGACAAGTTTTAGAAAACGATCTCACGGTGTTGACTAATGTTTATGGAGTCCGTAATAAGTGGATATTCATCATTCTGTTGTGTATTTCAGTAAAAATAACCAAATCAAAAACTCCATTTTCAAGTTGCCGCGAAAACGTTTTTCTGGACAATATGGAGTCTTACTAATGTGTGACGTCAAACGACTGTTATTAAAACGTCAAACGATACAATGTAATGTACTTTAACCGGAAGTTTACTTGCGTGTGACGTCATTTTAGGCTCCGCCAATCCCAAGCGTTTTGGGTCACGGGACAATAGATAAGAAAACTATTATCTTTTTCGTGGGTTTTTAGTAAAATTATGAATATTTTTTTTGTAAATCTAATAAAAACCCCTGCCAATATACATTCTAAACACAGATGCTAACAATTGGCACTTTATTTTTAAATTTTAATACTGTCAAATACCCTATTAAAGCAAATCAAAATGCAGTTTTCAACTTACAGTAATTTTATTTATATGACAATGATAGAATGATGTTTTTATTTTGCATATTTCATTGAGAGTTGTTAAGCAGAAAGCAGGCAGGCAAGGCTTTTTTGAAGCAAGTGAAAATATGTTTTAGAACCTCATGTTAAAGTTTGATCCCTAAAATGACCTGCTTTCACAATCATACTTTAACATTTGTCCACAAAAATGCCTGCTGGCCACTCTCACTGCTACCTATCAATTATGTTTTTGAAGAGTACCTCATTATGTTGGAAAGACATAAGAGTTTGATGAATTAAAAAAAGTTTTTTTTTTACAAGTACAAGAAAAGCCTTATAAATTAAACATAACCTAAGAGAATTCTATCATTTGCTTGTCTCCTTCAGCTTTTCCAATTGTTGCCTGCAACAAAAAACATATTATCTATTCTATACACATCATTTAATATGAATAAATAATTGAAAATTTTTTGGCAAATGTCACCAGTTCTCGAAAATTATAGATAATCTGCTATTTAACAGTATCTATAAGCAAGGTGAGAATAGGAAAATTAGAAGATTGGAAGATGACATATAAATAGTACTAGGACATGAAAAGCAAAATGCAGAACAAGTTGGAAGATTTTATAGAAGGTCTATGCCGAAAACCCAGACAATCTAAAATAGACAAATAGAATAGATAATATATAAAATGCTGTATTTATTATTATATGTGTACACCCTGGTAAACATCTTGAGCAATAACCATCCATAGACAAGAAAACCTAATAACAATTTTACTTTCAATAAAGTCTAATTCAGATAAAATATAAAATTTTTATCTGTATAAATACTGAGCAATCTCTCTCATATTGTGTCTCTCTCACTATGGGATATTGGCGAAATTTCTGTGTAAAACGGAAACAGCCACAGAACAAAAAAAAGTCTACTGAGCAATTTTATTTATATGCAGTTATGCTCATGGAGTCTGCTGCTACCTATAACAGCTGCTGGCATATTAATCACTCCTAGCCTCAAGAGTAACTAGATGCAAAAAAGAACATTGCTCTTATTCCTTTGGAAATAAATTTTGAACAGGCTATCAGGATGGCAAGTTGAGAGATGTCCTTAAAGTTTTGCAAACTACCTATTACTCCTTTTTGAGACAAAGGACTCCTTTGTTGTCGTTAAAGTACAGGCCACTTTTCAACTTTGGACTTCATGAGATTGCAGACTTTCATAAAATAATGTTTCCAATATATATGAAAATTAAAAGTAGTCCAAAAGAAGCATACTTGGTATTGATTTTGTTGAGCCGATTCTAATATTTTCCCATATAAGGTAAATTTATCAAATGATTACCAAGCTTGGTTATAAACTTGTTGACAAACTAACCTCAATTGCTGGTTGAAATCATCTTGAACGATATCGTCCTCCCAGTTATCTTCCCACACCGACACGTCTTCATCATCTGCGTCTTCAGTTCCCCAATCTGCAGATAAAAACAGATGTATTTGTATTGGAAATAGGAATAAAAACAGGTTGCAAACGCATAAAGATTATATGGAGTTTTGTTGCATACTTTCAGCAGGAAATTCTTCGAATTCGTCGTCTTCTTCGAGTAAACCCAGATCTACCTTCTGTTTGTCTGTCATTTTCAGATGTTTGTTGATGATTTAGCAAAATAATTTAAACGAATGTCGCTTTTTAATTCAGCTGAATCACTCCGTTACTTGAATGTCATTTAGTTCAAACTGTCAAAATGACACCTAACATGTTTTCTTATTTTTGTACCTTGAACCAGAAGGCAAAGGATATTGAATTCGAACATTTTTTTTTTATAGATAGGTCCGACAAATGGCTCCACCCCACCTGATGTTAAGTGAAGGTGAAGTCCAGACGCGAAAATAGCTGATACAGCAGTTCTACCTGCCACACCAGCCATCCTCATCCTGCCGGCCTGCATGTTGCTTCTTCACGCCTCTTTTAAAGGATCCCAGGTTGTAAGAGGGAGGGAACGTGGGCGGGCAGTGTTAAATATAGTTGGAAATTGGATAAAAGGATACTTAAAATATTATTTTAATAAAACCCATTTTGTTATTTCAGTGTCGCTGTGACAACTCATTTATTTTTCACTCACTTCAAACTTAACCATAAACAAATATTGCATCCTAACACCCCCTCTCAATATTTATAATGGTTAAATTTACTTTATATGACAACGTAACGCATTACAACATTTACAATATAAATAAACACAAAATTAACATAGCATACGTACATAAAAAAAATGGGTGCGTGTACTTATGTAGGCGCGTGAGAAGTTATCCTTCTTTGGCATCGTTTAAAATTAGTTTTTAATTGCATGCAAATAATTAATTACAATAAATTAATAAAAAGTCTGGAAAAGGACACAGTCAATAAAGTTCAGTTTTAATTTGAAAAAATAAATAAATAATCAAAATATTCAATTAAAATCGCTACTGAATATAATTTATTAGAACATATGTGATTTGCACTTGTATGAAACTCAAACACGTATTCCGAATATACAAACTAGAAACATGTGGATAAATATTATAAATACGAATACCTATAACTGTTACTTTATTACAAAAAATAAAGATGTGGTTTTTGGTTCTACTACACCAATGGTCAAGAGATGGCGCTGTAGTCTCCTGAATCGCGCTTTGGTTCCGTTGTTCCAGATTAATAAATACTTTTGATAGGCCTTCACAATGCAGTCGTTAGCACCCACTAAATAGAGATTCTATTTCTATTATAATAATTTGTGTTTCAGTGATGCGCGCGCATCTTAAAATTTCACTCTCATCATTTTTTCATAACGCGCCTAAAGAAGTATAACTTCAAAAAAAAACTAACAGATAAACATTGCAATTAAATAATAAAATTTTTCTTTACCTAAACTTTTCGTCATAACATCTGCCAAATTATCATGAGTATTTACATATTCTATACTTAAGATTTTATTATGCACTAAATCTTTAAATAAATGGTACTTTATATCTATATGTTTCGTTCTCTTTTAATTTTCATAACTTTTAGATATAGCTATAGCACTTACATTATCTGCAAGTAAAGTTATAGAATTAGATTCTCCCAAACATTCTGAAATTCTTTTTAAATTAACCAACCACTGAGCTGTACTACCTGCTGCTAAATATTCCGACTCTGCTGTAGACAGAGCAACACATTTTTGTTTACTAGAAAACCAAAAAACCGGATTTTTACCATGCAGTATTATGCCACCACTAATACTTTTCCGATCTGCTTTGTCGCTAGCCCAATCAGCGTCGGAATATCCAAGAAGACTTGATTCTCCATCTGTTAAGATATGTGTTTACGCCGTGCGGCGATAGATGGCACTGTACGCTTGTGACTCGCGCTATCCTTTTGTTGCGTATCATTATATATAGATGCCGTTAGACTTGAATAAATTTCTTCTTCGGAGTTTTTCCACTAGATCAATATATTAGTTTTATTTCGTTCCGTAAACATTGGTCTAAATCGAGCCAGATTATTAGAATCGCCGCGTCATACGGGTAGTTGAGTTGTGCTTGGATCGTTAAAAGTTAATAACAGTGAAGTGATAAAAGTTCATGGCCTTTTAAGTGTTGTGTTTTGTGTTACCTGGATTTATCATTTGGATTGGTAACCGTAAGTTATAGTAATAAGAAATAAATAGTGCACAAAGAATACATAATTAATAAAGGTAGTTCAATAATAACATACAAAATGGAGTCACTTGAGCAGTCACAGTCGGATTGTTTCAAGCAAATACAGAAACTGGGTACAAACTATAAGAAAACCGCAAAAGATAAACTCACACCGGGTTATGTAGAAACTAGATTAGAAGTATTAGAGTCGTATTGGCGTGACTTTCAATCAAATCATAAATCCTTACTCGCAGCAACCGTAGAACAGAGAAAAACTTTAGCATATTTTACTAACGAGGAATATGATACCTGCCTAAGCTATTACTTGGAAATTAAGACTAAAATGCGAGATACATTAATCAATAAGTCTTCTCCTGTTGTAAGTAATAACCAGCAGTTAGATTGCGATAGTCAACCAACAGTTAGTACTAGATTACCTGCTATACAAATACCCACATTTTCTGGAAATTATAGAGATTGGCTTTCATTTCATGATATCTTCAAGTCCCTTGTCCATGATAACAATAACATTTCTGTAGTAAACAAGTGCCAGTATTTAAAAACAAGTCTGAGAGGAGATGCTGAGAATTTAGTAAAAATGATACAAGTGTCTGAATCAAATTATGATATAATTTGGGATATGCTCAAAAAACGTTACAATAATAAACGTAGTATCGTTAACACTTATATTGGCAAAATGTTAAATCAAAGAAAAATTCATACTGAATCTGCAAAATGTATTAGAGAACTACTAGATGTCACTACGGAATGTTTAGCTACTTTGAAAGGATTACAGTTACCTACAGATGAATGGGATGATTTAGTTGTGTATATTATTATACAAAAGCTCGATACTGAATCACACAAATTATTTGAGCAAAAGTTGGAGTCTGTATCGAAACTACCCACGTGGAATGAGTTAGCTCAATTTTTAGAACACAGATTTCATACATTAGAATCAGTTAAGTCTAGACAAGATCCAAGTCACTCACCGCCTGTAAAACATGTTACATCAAAAATTTTTGTTACCGAAGTCAGTCGAGACGTTGTGTACACAAAGTGCGTTTATTGTAATGGGGATCACTCGATATTTAAATGCAAAGACTTTTCGAATTTGGACTTACAAGCAAGAAAAGATTTTGTTCAAGCTAATCAGATTTGTTTCAACTGTATGAGAAAGGGTCACCCAGTCAAGTCGTGTTTACAGTCCACTGCATGCAAAAAGTGTGGCCGAAAGCATCACACCCTATTGCACGGGTTTACAGTTCCAAATTCTAGAAAGGAAAGTGTACCAACAACAAACCATAATGAGACAAATTCTACTTCGGTGATGACAAGTACTTCCGAGTTATCAAGCAATACTGTAGAAAGCTCCAACCCCAACTCAGTCATTCTTGCGACTGCATTAGTAAATATTAGATCCGAGAAACTAGAAACAACCCATACGCTCCGCGCATTAGTAGATCAGGGCTCCCAAACGTGCCTCATTACCGAAGCTGCATGTCAAGTCCTAGGCCTTAAACGAGACCCTATTAAAGGAAATATATCAGGCGTAGGCTCAGTCAAATCCATTACTAAAGCTAGAGTAAATTTCGAGATTAGTCCTAGAAATAATTTACAGATAAAAGTTAGAATAACAGCATTTGTTATGAAATCATTAACATCATACTTACCACAAGGATCACACGCCATTGATTGGCCGGAGATGAGAACGTTACACTTAGCAGATCCTACTTTCGAGAGTCCAGGCAAGATTGATTTATTACTAGGTGCAGATGTCTTTGCCGAGATAATACAACAAGGCATTCTGACACACAAATGCGAAACACACAATCTTGTTGCACAGAGAACATTATTAGGCTGGATTATATCTGGCAAACACGAATCGAGCAATACTATTCACTCTGAGGCATCCATTCTTCATGTTAGGGTGGAATTGGATAGTCTTCTTCGTAGTTTCTGGGAGATTGAGGAGGCAGCAGAGAAACGCATACTGACTAACCTTGAACTTAAATGCGAAAAACATTATAAGCTAACACACCAAAGGATGAAAAATGGACGTTATTCAGTTCGCTTACCCTTTCTTTCCACTCCTCCGGATATTGGTGAATCACTCAATATAGCCAAGAGACGATTTAATGCTTTAGAAAATAAACTTAGACGCGATACAAACCTAGAAAAGAAATACACTAATTTCATGGAAGATTACATACAACAAAATCATATGGAGAAAATACCAGCTGTCGAGATTCAGAAAAAACCGAATGAGGTCTGTTACATTCCACACCATGCTGTTATAAATAATGAGCATCTAACAACAAAGTTAAGGGTAGTGTTTGACAGCTCAGCCAATACTAGTAACGGCAAGTCGCTCAATAACAATTTGATGCCTGGGCCCGCTCTACAAAATGACATCCGAAACGTTACCTTGAGATGGCGTAGACATAAAATAGTTTTAATAGGAGATATTCGCCAACATTACAGACAAATAAGTTTAGACCCTAGAGATAGAGATTACCTAAGAATCCTTTGGAGACCTAGCAGTAATGTTCCATGAACACTATAGATTAACAACTGTCACATATGGAACTTCTTGTGCACCATATCAAGCTATAAGGACACTTAAACAATTAGCTGAAGATGAAAAGGAGAACTTTGATGATGACATCATAGACACTTTGTTGCAAGATTTTTTCATTGATGACTTGCTTGGAGGAAGTGAGTCTTCTGAGAAAGCTGCTGACCTGAAACAAAAAATAACACAGTTATTAAGTAAAGGGGGATTTCCACTACACAAATGGACATCAAACAGTTTAGAAATTCCAGGTGCAGAGCAGTCAAATCGTAAAATATTAGGCATAAACTGGAATGGATTTACAGACACATTTGAGCTACAGATAGTCCTGCCTTTATCAAGTGAAATTACAAAAAGAACAATCTTACGAGATATAGCTACCATTTATGATCCTGCCGGTTGG